TTCATTTTAAAATGTCTCTTAAGTGTTTAATACCCATGTGTTTGCCATGATCTGTAAGAATAACCGTAGAAAGATAAAGTCCTCTTTGCAAACGGTTCACTAACTGTATTGTAAAGCTTAGAGAAGTTGTCTTATACGAAGAAACGTATATTTGCAAATTGACCCACCTAATGTTTCAGTCAGTCCAATTCTCCTGTGCGCAAATAGTCACCTTGAAATGTGTATCATGGTTCTCCTTGGGAGAAGACACAGATGTAGGAACAGGACTGCGGGGGTAGAGAACTGAAGTAGGGAAATTTATAAAATTCCACTTTTAAAAAAATCCTATCTTGATAACATCCTCAGGTTCTTTAAAACATATTATTAAATATTTACCCTTCACAGAAAGTATTATAGTGAGTACTATCTTAAGGTTCTACTTCCTTAGAATCCTTACATTAACCACATTAAACTGTGAACCACAAATAAATCCTATTACCATGAAATGTCTGCTAAACAGAAACTGCATTTGTTTTTTATAAACATTTACATACAAGTCTGTGATAGAGTAATCGCGATCCCGAACCTTAAGCCATATTTTCATTTTAAATAGCAAAGCAAACCTAACTAATTTCCCATGTGGTACATTAAAAGGAACTCATGATAGATAGATTTTTCTTAAAATTCACATAAATGAGAAGCTTTCTGTGGTCTGTGGCATACATACTACAGTGAGGACAATAGGGACTGTTAGTCGTTCGGCCCTGCGTAGGTAAAGACAGTAAGCTAACACATCACCAGCACGGCTGCCAGGATTTGGCCCATCAGCCCACTGGTTTTCCCGCGTGATAGGGATTTGCACTGATGTAGATTCTCCGTTTGGTCTAGGCCCTCAAAGCGTGGATGGTAGCATGCACCTGGAGCAGGCCTAGGCCGGGGGTTAGACCTGAGCATGCAAAACTGACAGTCTCCATGGCCATGAACTTGGTCTCATTTGTTTAATGTTCTCGCCAGCTGAGCTAACTCATTTTTTAAGATAGAATTACACAAGCTAGCACAGCTTCCCAGAGTTTTATTTTTCTTTTAAAAAGAAATACCACGATTAAATTTTCAAAATAGACTCAGAGGAGCTTCATGGTAATATGATTGCTATGAAAAAAAATATCTCAAACATATTGAGGGGCATATTGAGGGGTCTGAAACATAGTAATTTTTAACACAATGGAAGTGAAATTTAGATCAAACCAAAACATATTGAATGAGTGCAAAGCAAGAACAATAAAACGGATATATTCACAGCAATTGCCTTTTATATTAGAAATGGGAATTCCAAAGATCTGAAGGTAGGTAATTAGTAATGTCATCATGTGGCAAAAAGAGCATGAGAAGGGGAGTTGGGAACCCTGAAATCTAGTCCTGGTTGTCACTATATAACATAATGATATGTCACAATTACCAGTTTCTTCATCCGTAGCTTAGAAAATTGGGCTTGACACATCTAAGAGTTTTGAAATACTAAGTTTTGAAATACTAAGAGTTCTTACTCCTGTCAAAAGTATATAAATCACGTACTAAATATTTTTTTAAATCTAGATTTTTTTTTAACCATGAGTTAGAGCTGCTAAAACGTTTTACGATAAAACACAAATGAAGCCAGTTTGCATTTTTGAATAATTTATAAGGATAAGAACAGAAAAATAATTGTACAAAACATCCTCAAAGGGCTGTTTTTCTCCATCTCAAAGAAGACAGGATCACCTGAACAATACAGGTTATCTTTTAATTATTTCTAATGCATCATTGCATTATTACTGAAAGATTTTAAAAAGGACATTGTCAAGGTATGTATGTATGTATGTATGTATGTATGTATTTTCTAGAAACACGATTTCCTCCCTTCCCTCTCTTTTACCATGAAAAATCCTTGCACAAGATAAAAGTGAAACCTGAATCCATCTAATAAATGTCAGTCTTCACTTTATGGTGCTGCTCTCTGAAGGCTGGATGACTGAATGGATTTTGGAGCAGGAAGAAAGCACAGGCCAAATTGTTTTTAACCTTGCAAGTCCTCATGGTTGTCTCTTGTAGTGTAGTATTTGGAGAAAAAATTTAAATGGAAAGCAGAAATGATATGAAAGACTCCCAACCTAGAGCTGCAAAGCGTGTAATGTCCTCAAGACATTACAGGGTAAGCCCTGTAATAGAACATTAGGCCAAAGGGAGAGAGTAAAACAGAATCCCTGAGGAAATAATCACAATTTATTGGGATCTTCTTTTTTATTTTTTATTTTTTTTACATCTACTTTAAAGACAGAAAACAAAGATATGTTATTTCTAATTAAATACTGAGCATAATCCACCTTTGCTGCCAATCAAGATACTGTAAAAGAATTTACCAGTTATGATTTACTTATTTCAACCAAGCCTTTCTCCACTTCTAAAAAAAAAATCTTATTTATTACTTATAGTATATCAATCTATGTAGCTCCTTTTCCCTTAAAAAATTTTATTACTGTGCTTCAAACTCTCCCTATTTGTCAGAAAAATCCATCAGCCATAAGGTACAAATGTGCCTTACAGGTCACCACTGAATCACAGGAGGCAACAAAATTGATGAGATTATTAATGTATCAAACTGAATGGTTACATGGAAAGGGGATGGTTACAATTCAGGGTCAAATAGTGTATTATCCTAAAATCTTGCACTTTAAATAGAAATTTATTGGACATTTTAATAGCTTTTTAAATTGAGGGATTTATCAAGTGTTTAAATTTTTAAGTATTTTTTTCTTTCTTCAAATAAAACTTGTAAAGGATAAATGAAGAGTGTTTCTGCTGAAACAGCTTTGTTTCAAACAGAGGAAACGTGTTTTCCTCAAAACTTTTTTCCTCAAAAACTTATTTTGGTAGGTAATATACTTTAATTTCCTAAATAAATTTTCAAATTTATAAATTTTTAAAAATGGATCAGGATTAGTAATGCAAAATGGTACTAAAGATCAGTGTTTAAAACACTTAAAGTTATGATACTTTTATTTCATTTTTCTTATATTCCCTTATACTAATTGGATTTATATAGCACCTGTCTTCTAAGGAACTCAGACTGCCTTAGGAGTTTACAGACTTAAGAGTAGTATGACTGCACAATAGCAATTGTTTCCAAACAGTTATATTTTTTTGTCCAAGGAATGTTCTATTGCCAGAGACTAGCAAGGAGTGCTATGAGAGGAAAGAGACCAAGAGCAAATTGGGAAGTTTATATAAAGGAAGGAGCAAGGGGATGAAAAAGCAAGAAGTCATAACTTCAAAAAAGCCATTCACCTAACAGGCAAAAACACCTTCACTTTATCCCGGATCCTGCTTCAGTGAGTGAATGAGAAAAACTAGACTAAGGAAATCTACTGCTTTCCTGGATCTTAGCTAGAGCTTGGTTTTTAACTGCTAAGATTATCATAGGAAGAAGAAGAAAAAATTCTTCTAAATAGACTGTAAGCATTACAATTTGTTTTCCACAGAATCAGCAGACTTACCAAAGTCTATCAGTTTATTTCTGAGATGCTATGTGTGCCCTTATTAGATGTTTTACTATTTTTAGCAGGTTAATATCTTCATCATTCCTAAGAAATAATGACAGCCAACCAGTTTATGAATTCCTGGTGAACATGTAAAATGTTTAATGGAATATTAAGTGCCATATATTTAACTTTTCCTTGGGTAATTAATTATAGGATCTGAAATATCTCCTGTACATAATAAATACTATAATATTTCATAAAATGAGTCTTATGAAACTTAATCTAGTTAGAACTTCATATTCCAACTACAGAGTCTAAAGAAGGAACAGATTCATAGATTTTTAGCCCTATTTTCAAAACTTCTCAATTTAACTCAAAAAAGGAATAGGCAAAGATCTCTAGAACCTACCTAAAGGACTGCAATCCTATTTCATTTATAAATATATGGAAATGTAAATTTTATTTCAAATATAAAGCACTGTAGAACATAATCAATTTAAAGAGAAAAAAGGCCTTAAGACTTATTGATGCGAGTTTACCTACACTGTATGTTAGGCAATAATGGCTAATGTCACTTTATATAATAGCTTGGAGAGTAATGGAATTTACTTTTAGGCTTCCTTGGCATAAAATAAACTGAAAAAAAAAAAAAATCTTGTCCATTACTGATAGTATCAATTGATTAAGCAATTGCTGTTATTTACACCTACAGTGATTTATTCTTCACATAGGTGTATATACTAATATAAAGTAGAGGTGGGGAATATTTTGATTCCCCAATTCTTAAATATGAACTGAACACAACCTATGATTCATTGAGACACTTGTTTATGGATGTAGGCCTTTGTCTCTGGTTAGTTCCTCAAATTCATATCCTGTCATGACGGTTTTTTAAACATACAAGCAGCATCTCTGATAAACTATTGACCATGTATATTCTATTTTAAATGGTTGTGGGTTTTTGTTTTTTTTTTTAATATTCTCAAGAAAATCTAAGTTCCAATTTACATGCTCAGGAAATTTTTTAAAATTTACATTTTTAATCTTTTGTTTTAGAGTATTGTCTTTAAGATACTTCATTTTAAAACATTTGCATTATATTTCATACTCTGCTCTGAAAACCCATAGAACAATTTCATACAGAAAGTTTTATGAAGTAAATAATTTTGTTCCATTCTAACAACTTAGCCTAGAAAAAGCTCTGAATTGTGAGCTGTTTATCATACAGAACTCTCCCCTCTTACCAACTTTATAATGCTCTTACAAAATTGTTTCATGAATAGCATTAACTTTCGGACTACAATAAGTCTATTACATGTATATTCACATTCTCTATTTAAATCCTGAAAGGTTCCACCATCTCAAAACTATTTCCAAATTCTATTACTTAAGACACTACTCCACTTTCGTTTTCAGCTACAATACCTCAATTACCATCAAAACCAAGACCATTCTGACATTGCCCCAATCCTTTTTTTTTTCAAATAGCAAACCTGAACACAGCTGTAATTCTTTTAAGAATCTTTATTGAAGTTTTTCTTAACAATTTAGTCTGTTGGATCTCAATGCAGTTTATAAAAAAACTTCAGTATAGTTTCATATAAACTGCAACCAGAAAAGTAGTTTACTTTGTTAAAGAAGTTATCTGAAGTTGCAAGTTATTTTTTGTAATATGTAGAACAGTAAAATATAAGCATGCTCTCGGATGCAGGTGCTCCTGTGGGCTATGGAGTTACTCTGAAGAGCTTGCTAAAATCTGCAGGCAGTTTATGGAATGCATTTATTTTCTCCACAATTTTGGTACATGAGAATAAAACCGATATTTGTGAATAAAGTATTTTTTTCTCAAAAAGGTTGAGGCAGCTTTTGTTGAATGCTATCTGTGTGGCTACACTGGCTACACCTTGAACTCTGTACTAAGAGAAAGAGCCAGGAGTCCACGTTCATGCTAAAACTCGAAAAATCCCTCCACACGAGTCGAGTTCCAAGAAAAGGAAAAGGATAAAACACTATGCACAGTTTTTCATCGTCTTACATTAACAAGACACACCAAAAACTTCACATAACAAGGGAGCAAATTCCCTTCACTGCTTTCAGTCAAGGTCAGCAGTGTCCACAGTGGAAGGTGGAAGTGGAGCAAGCCTAGGACAGAATAAAGCTTAAGTCTACATCTCATGCATAGTTGTCCTTGTTCTGTCCTCGAATGTTTCTCAGACATCCGAATTAGAACTGAGGTTTGTTAACCTGGGGTCCGCGTTGATTTCGTATCTGTAGTGATACCCTTCCATGTGATCCCTGCAGGCATCTCTGATATTATGCATCCACTTTTTTATCCCCTTGCGGTTCAAATACAAAACCAGTAGGAAAATGGCGCCTATCAGGGCTAAAACAATACCTAGGAAGACATAAGAAGTCTGCAGGGATGGAGGGAGGATAGGGTCACAGTCCAGGTGGGAGCTGTTGAGTTCCAAGAGAGCCCGATTCCTCATTTTTTCCGGGAATGCACAGGTGAGCCTGGCTTTGCCCTGCACTACCTCTGTCTCCTTGAGCCAGGCCACCATGTCTGCCATGTGACAGTCGCAGACCCAGGGATTATTGTCCAGGAAGACCTTGACATGGGGCAGGCTTTGCAACTCGGCCAGGGTGCCATTGTGAAGGACTTTGAGGGCGTTGTCCTCCAGGTGGAGGCTTTCTAGGTGCGTCAGGTTGCGGAAGGACACGTAGGTTAAGCTCACCAGAGAGTTGTTGTGCAAATCCAGGTGCCTGAGGCCGGGTAGTTGGGCTAGAACATCCCGAGGCAAATAGAGGAAGTGGTTGCTGGCCAGTTCCAGGCGCCAGAGCCCGCGAAGCGCTTGGCCGGCTCGTAGGGCCGCTGCCACCATACCCTCGAAGCTCCGGTTCTGCCGCCTGTCGTCAGGGGGCACGATGTGGTTCAGCATCAGTTCCACCAGAGGGCTGGGGGCCGAGAAGCTGGCGTTGCTACCCGAGAAGGCGAAGGGGCTGAGGCTGACCAGCGGGTTGTGGCTGAGGTCGAGCTGGCGCAAGCTGGGCAGATGCTCGAAGGCGCCAGCGCACACCTCCTCCAGGCTGCTGCCGCTGAGGTTGAGCGCGGCCAGCTCAGCCAGCGGCGGCCGGCGGGCGAAGGCGCCGGCGGGGAGCACCGCCAGCTGATTGCCGGTAAGGAAGAGGTTGCGCACGTAGGGGGGAAGGTCCGCGGGCACCTCCGTCAGGTTGCGGTTAACGCACTTGACAGTGCGCGCAGCCTCGGAGCACTCGCAGGGCTGGGGGCATGGGCCTGGCAGCCCGGGCTGGGCGGACACCGCCGAGGCCAGGAACGACGCGGACGAGGTGGAGGGCGCGGAGGAGGTGAGAGAAGAAGAGGAGACCCAGCCCAGGAGGAACAGCGCCAGCCGCGCTAGCCAGAGCCGCCCGTACCCTGAGGCGGGGCCCCGGGAACACCCCCCAGGCATCGCGGCGCGGCTTTCCCCGGAGCTGGGCTGGGACGGCGCCCGCTCCGAAGGCTCGGGGACTGGGTCCGGAGGGTGCGGGCCGGCCGGAAGCGTCTAGAGAAAACTTTCCTCTCGTGGGAGCGGAGGAGGGACGCCGCGGCCGGAACTTGGCTAAACCCCTCGCCACCAGGCGTTCCCCGCCCGGGGTCGATTCCCCCCGCCCCTTCCCTCCAGAAAGTACGCACGGCGGGTCGGGACTCTCAGCTCCGCGCTCCTCCTCCCGCTCCTCTTCCTGACGCCGCCCCCGGGTGGCACCTCCTTGCCTCTTTTGTTGGCGCCTCACGCTTGATCCGCTCCGGGACCTGGGACAGGCGGGAGAGAAGCGTGAGGAGCGGCGGCGGCCGCAGCTCCCGGAGTGCGGGAACCCGACTCTCCAAGCCCAGTCGTCCCTACTTGGTCCCCAAGACTCCCTCGGAAAGCCCGTCCAGGTTTCGCCTCCCCAGTCCCACGCACATCCTTACCCGCGAGAGGGGCGCGTGTCCCGAGACACCCAGCATAAAGTCTTCCTTCTGCCCAGGCCCACACTATTTATACCCTTCCAGCCTCCAGCCCTCCTCCTTTCCCGATCAGATTCGTCCCCCGCCTCTAACTTCTCGCTTAATCCCCTGCGCCTCCCGGACCGAACTTCTCACTCTCCCAGCTCCTTCCCCCACCGCCTCCGCGGCGACCAGCCTTCCGGGGTCTCCGCGCCTGCCCGGACCTTTCCCGGGCCAGGTTTGGATGGGAGGGAAGTTTCAGGTTACAGGAGTCTTTTGATCTCTTTTGGTACCTTCCCGGATTAGCAGGAAGTGGAGGACCTTACAGCTGTCGCCCCTCACCCCTCGGCCCCTGGCCCGCGCCCCAGCGATCCCCTCGGATCCCAGAGGGGGTCAAGTCATCTCCAAAGAGGAGGGGAGAGGCCGCGAACAAAGCGGCTGTAGGAACCTGGAACCTACGCTACTCTCCCTCCAGAGGATGGGAAGGGGCCCGGCGCCGCCTCCGGGTTTTCGCCTTTGCCGCTTGCTCCCCACAGCTCACCTCCGCGCCCGTCACCTCCGGAGACAACTCAGTCCCACCAGAGTCTCCACGACTTCTCGGCTCCGCGCTGCGGGCGCCGACTCTCCTTGCACCCCAGCCCCTGGCCCAACCTCCGCAGCTGGGAAAAACCAACCCACCCGGGGGGCGGGGGGAGAGCCAGGCCTGCTGGAGGGATCTTTCCCTCCGCGCCGCCAACCTTGGCAGCCCTCTGTAGGGGGATTTAAGAAAGGAGACTGGGGGGATCTGGGCCGCGCGCCTCCTTCTGGTGGAAATTAACAAGGAATGTGCCCGAAAAGGTGAGGGAATCCCTTTCTCTCCCCCCTTCCCCTGTATCCTTTGGTGGTTCCTCATTTTGCCTGGTGTATTTACCTTGGACAGAAAGAAAACCGCTGGTGAGTCTCGTGGAATTCACCCTGATTTAGGCACCTAGGGCCGTAACAAAATAGATTTCGGCGTGACAGAGCAACGAGAAGCCGCAGCATCAAGAAATGAGCAGAAAATGTACAGCGGCAATAGCAAAAACGCTCAGCAAGCTGCAGGGGAGCTTCAGAAAAGTCTTCCTACCAAAGTGATACCTTAAATGCCAACTTGAGGTTTAGGTGTAATTCTGCGTCCCCACCTGTTCCTCCCCCGCACTTCTTGGGTAGTTACGGAACTTGAGAACAGAGGGAGCCAACTTTGGGGGGGGGGGGGAGGGAGCGGTTAAAAGGGATTACTGGAGAGGAGATTCATTCTTGATTCATTAGCTTTTCTCCTCCCCAAATTAAAAGCAGAGGGAAAGCACAGCAGCCAAAGCATCCTAGAAAGAAAAGGCAAATAGCAATGACTTGAGTCACCCAGAAAAGCGGATGTGGCAACGCTGTGTCTGTGCAAATTGCCTAAACAGAGCCCACGAGGTGGAGTGGGGGTTGGGAGGTGGCCGCTCTTGGAGCACAGAAGTTTGGTCCAGAAGTCTATTCTCCCAGCGGGTGCGGGGCAGGCTGGGGAGATGGAGAAGATGCCGATGGGGAAGGGATAGCTTAATTTTTTTGCCTGGAGGAGCTGTTATATTGGAGAGGTTTAGGGTCCTGAAGTTTCCACCGTTGCTCTCTCAGTAACTCTGTATCCCCAATAATTTTCCTGAAAGGGTGAGAAGGTGCTGGTGTTCCAGGCCTTCACTTGACAATTCTCTTCATTTGTGAGAGAAAATGGCAAGTAGAGGAAATAGTTGGGAAAATTAAGTTCTGGAAGGTCATATAAAAAAGGAACAAATAAGGAATGCTGAAGTCTGTGCCTGTGACTTGGGCCTTTAGCTTGAAGAAATGTCCTAACTCTCAAGCCCATGACTGATGACTTTTGTGGAAAGACAATCTGCAGAGCCCACAGCAAAAATGGCCCAGACAAGACCTAGAGGGGTGGGAGGCTGCAGAGATTTGTACAAAAAGCCAGTTTTGTTAATTTGTAGTTCATGGTTAGCTAAGTTTTTTTTTTTTTAAAAGAGTTTTGCAACAAGAATATGAAACACTTTGAAAAAAATCTCAAAAACTATAGTCGTGTTCTGTATCCGTACTGGGCTAGAGGTTACATAAATCTATATGGGCTAAAATTCACAAAATTTTATACACCAAAGAGTGGATTTTACTGGGTGATAATTTTTAAAACAAAATGAATTACTCGGGAAAAATTGTAGTACTGCTTTGGCGTGGTATTAATTCAGTTTTGTCTAAAGGGCAAGTACTCAAGGAAAATGAGAAGCACTTTAGAATTTAGAAAGATAATATACCTCTCATCTGATCCTCAAATCAGCTTGGCAATATGGATATCACTGTCTTGTTATTGATGTTACTCTGTTTTACAAATGAAAAAACTGGGGTTCTGGGCCAATAATAACTAGCTTTGACTGAGTATTCTTTCACTGGCTAAACCTTGTGCTTATCACTTTATAGAAATTATCTGCTGTACTTATCGTGGCAGTGGTCAGGTAGGCAGTGGTCAGGTGGCAGTAAACCAGACAAGAAAATTGAAGTCAAAATAAATTATGTAACTTGTTTGAATGAGTGGTGGAGTGGTGGATACAGGGACCAGGCCCAGATTTATCTGTCTCTCCTACATACACCATATTCCACCTCTGGCAAGGTTGAGTTTGTGTAGTCCTGCTGAGCTACACTTAGGCGGAACCAAAGCCTCACCCTTGGTTCTCTTTCCCCGTTTCTCCCTTTTCCTCCTGGCAGCTGGCAGTTGGTTATGGCTATTAAATCAGGACCCAGAAACTTGGGGTCATTTCTAGCTTCCTCACTAACTGTGTGACTTTTGTATACCTCTGTTTCTTATTCTGTAAAATAGGGCCAGTAATAAAACTTCAAGGCATTTCCATTAGGATTGAGATATATACATAATAGACTTCGCAAAACAGCCTGTTATTGTGCTCTCCTCAATTCCTCTCCCTCTCAGGATTTATTATGCAACCACTATATATCTTTAAGTATGCTAATGATAAGAGTACAAGGATGAAGAGTTTATGGTCCTTAAAATAGAATTGCCAGAATTAGCAAATAAAAAAAATACAGGGCATCCAGTTAAATTTGAATTTCAGATAAGGAATAGTTTTTTAGTATAATTATGTCCTGTGTGATATTTGGGATGTACTTAAAACTAAAATCATCATCATCATCATCATCATCCATTGTTTACTTGAAATTCTAATTTAATTGGGCATCCCCTTATTTGATCTGGCAGCCAAGGAACTCATAACCTGGTGGAAGAAATAGACTCAGAAACTAAAGTTTTCAGTGTACAGCATTGACTGCAATTTGATGTGTGTCTTTCTAATCTCTTCCCTCTTGTATATATTTTACTTCTGTTTCTGCTATTTTTATATGAATGGGATCATAGTATATGTATTATTCGTAATTTTTCTTATTTTAGGACAACCATATATCATTCTATGTCCATACATATAGATTTGCTTTCTTCTTTTTTAAAGATTGCAAAATATTCCATGCTTTGAATTGTTATACCACATTTTTTTTAATTGCTTATTGAAAGACATTTAGATCAGTAGCTACTTTTTGAAGAATTTTCCTCCAAGTGAGAAAAGCTTACTAGGATCCATTCTATTTTGATTGTCTTAAGCATTTAATGATCTTAAATTATCATACTTGCCTTACTCCTGACAGCTTGAAAAATTTTTGTGTGAGATGCTATTTCCATGCTCTAGAGCAGGACAGAGGATTTCAGAGCATATTTGTTTCAGAGTACATTTATTCTTTCATTCCAAAATGAAATAAAAGGAGAATCTGAATGTCCTAATGGAGAAGAACCAATTTAATGTATTTCAATAGGTACTTTGTAGCCTCTAGGAAAATGTCTCTGTACTATCATTTATTTAGATTATTTCTACAGGATCCGCTTTTATTCTAATGACCCAAAAGAAGGTCATTAGTAACTCGTTGAAATATTGCTGTTAAGTCCTAGGAAGGCAAGGAATAATGTGTATTTAAAAAAAAAAAAAAAAAGGATGATTGATTATGGCCACCCTCATGAGGCAGAGGGAAGCCAAGTAGTACAGCATGCACAACCATCAACATTTTTTAAAACTACTTCATTTTAGTCTCTGCCTTAAATTAGCAAAATAATTGATAAAGGTAAATACTCTCAAATCTGAAAAAATCTAAAACAAAATCAAGTATTGGTGACTAACATTAAGCACATATGTCACAAAACCATGAACCAACACTTAAAACCAAACAATCAACATGAGGTTATATATATCCACTCAAGGAAAAAAAATATTTTTTAAATTGTTAATGAAAAGGTGCCTCGTTAGCACAGTAGGTAGCACATTAGTCTCATAAATTGTTAATGAAAGAAAACAAAACTCTTTTCATGAGCTGATTCCAAATCACTTTAGGAAAAAAGAAACGGGCTTCTTGTCTAAGGTACATAAAGAGGGTAAATTAAGTAAAAAACTAAATAAAGCTAAATTAAATAAATTAGGTAAAGGTAAATAAATTAAGTAAAATATCAACTAGGGTTGGGCCAAAAAAGGACTTTTTTTTCATGAGTCAGTACAGTGGGGTTTGAGCTAGTAAAAGGAAAATATAGCAAGATATTTCCAAATATATTGGATTTTAAATACTAAAGAAAGAACAAGATAAAATGCTGTAATGGAGAGTTAAACTGGATGGAAATACGTGATTCTTCAAGGAAAAATATTGAAAGGTAAATAAATTACATGGTGATCTGCAGAACATAAATAGCTAACATGACAAGAACATTCAATTTTAAAAGTGTTTAACTTTTTTTTTTTTTCTTAAAGATTTTATTTATTTATTTATTTATTTGACAGAGAGAGACACAGGGGGAGCAGGAACACAAGCAGGGGGAGTGGGAGACAGAAAAGCAGGCTTCCCACCGAGCAGGGAGCCCAATGGGGGGCTCAGTGTGGGGCTCGATCCCAGGACCCTGGTATCCCAGACCCTTCATCTGAGCTGAAGGCAGACGCTTAACGACTTAGCCACCCAGGCACCCCAAAAATGTTTAAATTTTTGAGAGCTTACCATATGGCCTC